TGCTACTAGTCGTGCTTTATATTTGTCAATGCTACCATCTGCTCTCAGTTTTACAGCATACACCCACTTGCAACCAATTGTTCTCTTGTTTTTAGGTAGAGAAACAAGCTCCCAGGTTGAGTTTTTTTCCAATGCCTCCATTTCAATGTTCATGGCCTCTCTCTACTTAGGATCTTCAAGAGCTTCCTGCACATTGTTAGGTATGCATACAGTAGATAATTGGTTTACAGATAGGGCATATGAGTTAGATAACCTGTGAGTTGAAACATAATTGTTAATAGGATACTTTGCCTTAGCTTGTAGATCTGGTTCATACAATTTTTTGGGATTCCTTTGGTTGGTCTTAGGGAATGCCGAGAAGAAGGTTCATAAGAAGGAGGAGGTTCAGATATTACCTCAATGAGAATCGGTTGTTGTTCAAAAGTACCTCCGGATTGCTGTTCAAGAACATCTCTGTATGCAGCTTCGGCTATTGGAGTTAGAAGTGGAGTTTCAGCTTGTGAATTCATTATGGTGTCTTGATGGATTGCCTCAGATGTAGTTTCGGCTGTAGGATGTGAGTTTGAGTGAGGACTCAATTGTAACAGTACTTCTCCTCCAAGATAATCATCAGATGGTGTCTCCCCCTGAGGGGAAGGACTAAGGACTCCCCCTGATAAAAAAGGTTCCCATTCGTGAAAGGAGACATCCATTGTAACATGTAGTTTGTGTAGAACTGGATCAAAGCATCTGTATCCTTTTTGAGAGTCAGAGTATCCTACAAAAACACACTTAGTAGCACAAGGATCTAATTTGTGACGTAAGGGTTTAGGAGTGTGAACATAGGCACTACAACCAAAAATCTGTGGTTCTAAATTTGGAATATGAGGGATGGAAAAGAAGGATTCAAGTGTTTGTTGAGGAGTTTGGAAACCAAGGACACTAGAGGGTGTCCTATTAATAAGATATGCAGCGGAGAGGACTGCCTCTCCCCAGAACCGTTTAGGAACCTGCATACCAAAGAGAGAAGCTCGAACAACCTCAAGCAAGTGCCTATTTTTCCTTTCAGCTAGGCCATTCTGCTGTGGAGTATATGTGCAGGATTTTTGATGTTTGATTCCATTGTCAAGCAAAAAAGAGCTAAAATTGTGATGTGTGTATTCGGTTCCATGGTCAGTTTGTAGGATTTGAATGCGAGATTGATACTGAGTGAAAATCATAGAGTGGAAGCGTTTAAAAACAGTAAAAACCTCACTTTTTTGTTTTAAAATACTGACCCAAGTCATTCTAGTGCATTCGTCAATAAAAGTAACAAAATAACGTGCTTGAGACAAGGAGGGTTCCCGAGAGGGACCCCAAACATCCGAATGAATAACCTGAAATGGAACCTGACTTTTATTGATACTTGGAGGGTGGGGAACAAGATGGCTCTTGGCCAGTTCACAGATATTACACTGAAAATTTGTTTTATTCAAAAGCGAAAATAAATTGGGGAACAATTTTTGTAAGTAGGGAAATGAGGGATGTCCTAATCTACGATGCCATAACCACATAGAGGCAGAGGCTTGATCGACAGCAGTGGTATTGAACGACTTGACAGAAGTGGTATTGAACGACTTGACAGAAGTGGGAATAGAGCCGTGACTTAAATCCAAAAAATAGAGCTTTCCATGTCTAACTCCATAACTAATTGTCATCCGGGTTGAGATGTCCTGAAACACACAAAAATCAGGCCAAAAAGAAACAGTGCAATTCAAGGAAGTACTAATTCGGGAAACAGATAAGAGATTAAATTCTAAAGAGGGGACTACTAATACAAAGTCCAGGAATAACGAGGGAGAGAGGGAAAGGGACCCTTGGCCAGTAATGGGTGATGTGTTTCCATTTGCAGTGGATATGAAAGGCAAAGTTGAGGGTTGGCAATTATGCAAGTCAGAGGAATTTCTAATCATATGGTCCGATGCACCTGTGTCAATTACCCATGTATGGTTTCCAGACAATGTAGAAAAAGCAAAAGGGTTACCAATTGGACCTTGGTGAGCAACCAAGGCTGCAGGGGAGATGGGCGGTGCGGAGGCAGAGAAGCGGTGGCAATTGCAGCAGTGGAAGGCTTCCGGCGCGGCTGTTTGTTGAAGTCCCACCATTCGGGGTACCCTATTAGCTCATAGCAGCGCTGTTTAGAGTGTCCAGTCGTCCCGCAATGAGTGCACGAGAACTGAGTATGTTTGGCTGATGAGGTTTGCTTGCGAGTTTTGGAGGGGCCAGAGGCAGGAACTGTGAGTAGTGCAGTGGAGTCTGGCGGGAGACGAGCAGAATCCATGGTCTGACGTTGGGTGATTTCGCGACGAACAAAAGCATAGGAGCCCTCAAGATCGAGTTTTGGCTCCTTTCGAAGAATCTCCCCTCGTAGGTGAGCAAAGTCAGGGTCCAAGCCGCTGAGAAAAATGTGCACCCTGAGACGAGCCATGGTGGAGTGGAGGTGAACCACACCAGCGACGGTAGAAGCTTGAGATGGCGTTCGGTGGTCGATTTCTTGGAAGATTGCAAGAAGTTCGTTGTAGTACGTTGCCAGAGGTCGCCCTTGCTGCTTCGTTGTGAAGGATTTCTGGTTTAATTCGAATAGAACCGTTTCATCGGATGCATCGTAGTACGTCCGTTTGCAAGCCTCCCAAATCTCAGAGGCGGTTTCCAATCGTAAGAAACGGGGCATGAGGGAAGGACTCATTGAATCGATGAGCCAACTCTTAACCCGTTTGTTTTCGGTGACCCATGCTTCGACGGTGGGATAGTCTTGGGGGGGGTTTCGGATGCGTTCCGGTGAGATAACCGGTCTTGTTGCGGGCCCCGATCCGCATGTCCATTAGTTGGGACCATAGAGGATAATTCGTTTCGTCAAGGATGATAGACACAGGGAAGGAGGAGGAATCTTGATTGATGATGATGGGATTTGGTGGCTGGGTAGGAGGGACAGGGATGGCGGCGTCGGAGTTTGCAGTGTTATGGTTCGGGTTCTCCATTTAGAAGGAGGACAAATGAAGAGAGTAATGTTTTGGGTTGGGCTGGATGGATGAACAGTAATGGGTTGTGAGAGGAGGATACGAAAAAAAACAATGGGTGGGGATCTGTGTAGTGTTTAAAGGTTAGGCTGATACCATGTTAAACTTGTATCAATGGTGAATTCATCTATTCAATCGTATTCATCCTCAGTGAGGGGTTTCATATAAATACAAAACAGAGCAACAACTTGCTACTAAGAAGGAAACTATCCTAAACAACCTGATCTCATCTTGTTACAAACAAACCAAATATACATAACAGTAAACAACAACTTAGATCACAACTAATTTCTATTTTGAATTTTAAATATCATATTTCAACAGATAGTCTGCCACTTTGACTGCGTATCTCGCCACACAGCTATACGAAATTAGTGGCCTGCAAGACACTGCCACGTATCCAAACAAGACTCGCATGTTGGTGTAGCGAGTTTGTGACATGGCATTTTGAAAAAAATTCACCGAATAGTGGCATTGTGATAAATAATTGCAAATACTATGGCAAATGGGTCAATGTCCCCGGATACTGTTTATACATGTACTAGTTAGTTGGCCTTTATAATTTTCATAGATTAAATTTAATTTTTTACTGTACACTAGTTATTATAGTATCCATCCGACCCATCTTTATCTCCAATGTAGCCGGACACAACTCTAATTTCAGATGTAATCTAATCTAGTTATACCTTTGTCACGGATTTATATTTTGAGTTTATTTTCATTTCAGTCTCTTTAATTATAATAAGTGAAGCTTTTACTAGAGAGAGCACATTAGAATATCATAAAATATATTATACTATCTTAAAATATTCTAAAGTATCTTGCATTATATTTTTTAATAACTTTTACATCTCTTTATATTTTATAATTTTTTTTCTTATTTAATTAAAATATATTACTACAAATAATAATTAATATTTGTCTTTATATCTCATTTCATTCTATATCACGTAATTTCATACAAAAGGTATTCGAAGTCCCTAATCTATTTTCCCTCGTACAAATAAAAATTCCCTTTGGAGAGCTAACCGCATAATGTTGCCTTCAGTAAAAAAATACTTATAGTTTATAAAAAAAATGATAATTTAATTTAGTGATTTAAAACCATAGTTATTAAAACCGGACTGACCCGCCCAGGTCGACCCGAAAATCGGTAAACCGGTCATATAATCGGTCCGGTTGAAGCAACGGACCAGTCATGCATCAGAACCGGTGCGACCCGGCCGGTTTTCATAAAAACCGGTGACCCGGTTTTCATAAAAACCAGTGACCCGGTTGATTAACCGGTCACCCAACCCGGTTTTTAAAAAAAAAAAATTCCAAATTTTTTTTTCAAAAAAATAAAATCATAATGGACATATTTGAATATTTTTTTGCTTATTGACTTACATAAGTTATGTACCTACAACATTAATATTATCTCAAATGTCATTTTCTGAATTTAAAACCCCGTATCACAATTATTATATTTTTATTTGATCCTTTATTGGATAATAGTATGTTATTTATTTTTTTATATTAAAATATTTGAAATATTTATTATTTTTTTAGATATTTGAGTATATTTATAATTTTTTAATATATATTATAAAATTGCATATAATTACTGAGTCATGCGGTTGAACCAGTGACCCACTGACCCAGTACATCGACCGGGTCAATGACCGGGCCGGTTTTAATAACATTGTTTAAATCCCCTCAGGAATAATTCTATTTTCATGTATAATTAAGTACAAAGCCATGTGGCTATTAGAAACTAAACAGTAACACTTGGCCACCTTACCATAGTATCTGCATACGAAAAATGTTACGTGGAAGCACAAAAATAAGCATTCAAGCAAACACAGCCACCCACCCCTTTTCTCTTCCACGTACCTACCTTACATGCAAGACGCCAAATCTTTTATAAATTCCCATCAACACCAAACTTCAAGTTACAGCACACTCATAATATTGCACTAAAAAATGGCGAGACTCACGATCCTAGTAGCCCTACTTGCTGCTTTTGTCTTGGTTGCACACACTTGCTCTGCCTCCAGAGAGGGGGGGAAAGAGAGTTGCAAGAAGCAAATCCAGAGGCTGAACCTGAAGCACTGTGAGAAGCACATAATGGAGAGGATTGGGCACGAGGAGGAAGAAGAGGAGGACGAGGATGTTCTATTAACCTTGCGCGGGGGAATTAGTTACTTAAGGCGTGGTGATCGGAAGCAAAAGAAGTGCTGCGAAGAGCTTAATGAATTGGAGAGTTCGAAATGCCAGTGCAGAGCATTGCAGAAGATATTGGATAGGCAAAGTGAGAAACTGCAGATGAAGGAGGTGCCACAATTCGAGAGAGAGCTCATGAACTTGCCTATGAGGTGTGGCTTAGGACCCATGCCCCACTGCGAGTTGCGTTGGGAGGACTAAACTAAACTAAACACAAGTACTAGTAAAACATATGATAGCTTATGTTACTAGTAAGCTATCTATGTACGTCGTTGTTATAATAAAGATCATTTACTAATGATCTCAGAAGGCAATGTAAGCACTTAGAGTGTGCTTTATGAGTTTGCCTATGTTTTGTTTACGTAGACTTGTAATGCTAGCTTTTAAATTAAAATCTTTGCTTTAACAAATGTGCCTTTGCTCTCGAAGTATGAAACAAAAAAATTTCCACACACACAATGTTTTGTTGGACCCGCACTTTTTAAAGCAAAAAAAAATAAAAAAAAATTAAGGCACGCAAACGAATCTCTATAACATTACACAAACACTTTCCCTAAAAATGCTCCTATAGATTTTGATCAATCTGCAAAACATGGGGTGTTATATTAATTCATTTGCTTTGGTGAAAGTGGCATCACAAACTGACAAACACACGAATGATTCATTATTCAAAATTTCATATGCATGTGTTGGCCGGCGTCTAGAGAAAAACCCAATTGTACATTATCCGATGAATTCAAAAACAAAATATTTTAATTCGATTTTAAAAGGAGGATTGAGTGTTGTTTTTTTAAGCTCTAATTATATGTTTTAATTTTTCTAAAGCAAAAAACTTTAAAAAAAGTTTATTATCTAGTTTTATCATAAAAGTATTTGTGTTACTTGTCCAAACAATATAAATGTTATTTTAGGCAAGAAATTTTTTTTAAAAGTCTTTAAAAGTATCATAATTTTTAAGCAAATTGTATATGTGAATTTTTTTAAACTTATTCATTTAAATGAAAATGTAATTTTCAAAAACTTATCCTCCGTATATATATATGGTAAAATATTCCTACGTACTACTATTTCAGCTAACTCTAATTAAACTGAGTTTTTTCGTGTGTGGCCGTTTTGTCAATTATAGTGATAATTTGTATTTTCTCGTTTAATGGTTGGGATCCATTTCTTCAATTAATTTTCCTTATTTTGTTCATAAACTGATCATATCCAATGTAAATCGAAAAAATTGAACAAAAAAAAAAACATTTTTTAATAAAAAAAATTCGGTTTTAATATTTAAAATCCAATAATGCAAAAACCATACCAAAATATAATTTTATTCTTTAAATTACCAATTCTTACAGCTACGGCCTTATACTTTGGGCTGATGATACAAAATTATACGATCCAGAGCCAGAGGTTTGGTTACGGGCCGGCCCAGGTACTGGAGGAACCCTTGGAAATTGAACGTAATCACGAAACCTTCTAGAAACTTCGGGCGCAGGTTCGCTCCGTGTACAATTGAGAAAGTCGTCTACAACTTTTTTTTTTGGTAACTTGTTGTCTACAACTTTATTCCATTCTTAATTCACTATAGGGAAATATAAACTCATTGGAGATTGTTTTTAATTTTTTTTCTCCCTTATTCTCTTGGAGATTGTTTTTTTTCTCATGCAACGTGAAATAATTCATTTATTATATTAATTTATTATTTTTTATGTTGTAAGAAATAATTTATCATTTACATACACGTAAAAGTATATGAGATTTATGTGAGACCATACGAGTAAAAAAGAAAATGTTGATTCCACATACTTTTATCTGTGAAGGAGATAAAATTATTTGCTGTGAAACACTAATCCCTTATTATATTTAATATTTTCTTGTTTTATTTTCTTGTTTTATTTTCTATTCTCAAGTAATTAAATTTCATTTACATAGCTGGTCGACTTCATAGACTTTGCATTGTTGTTGTCGTATATTCTTTAAATAGTTGCTTTGCTCAATTGAGTTCGCTTGTGGTGAATGTCATGTTTCAAAAGTCTTTGGTCGCTCGTTCCAGCATAGAAGTTAACAAGGAATTTTTGTTCTCTGTATCTTGTCTTGTCAGTTTGATTCATTTTCATTTTCTTCCTTTTCTTGGCTCAAGAATAAAATAATATAACTGAACTCAGACATAATAATACGTAATTCTAACAATCTTCATTGTCCTTAAACATATGTAGAATTTTTGCATGTTTATGTATGTCATTGGTATATCTTCCTGTCCACTTTACTTATTTCATAGTTCTTTTTTCTATTGAAGGACAAAAAAGGAAGAAGAAAAACTATGAAATAAAGTGGACATGAACATATTATCAATGACATACATGAAAGACACCTCTGCAGTACAAGTATATAAAACTAAAATGTTAATGATGTATTGATGTAATAGGCTAAGTACATATTAAAAAAGAAAAAGAAAAAAGAATTGGTGCAAAAATCAAATAAAAAGTGGCTGGAGAAGAATCTTCTTAGGAGAAGTCTTTTTCCTATTTCTTTTATATTCTCACTTGCTGTTCATATTAAAAAGATTATTTCTGCATGCTTTAATTATAGGGCAAAACTAATTTTATGTTGCATAAGATAGTGTACCTCATGTTGTAAAACAAAATTAAGGTGGATCTCATTTTGATTTTTTTTATTTTTAGTAGGTCCTCATCTTGATTTTATTTCATAACATGAGGTACACTATCTTATATAACATAAGATTAGTTTTACCCTTAATTATATATAATAAACATTTCTTATATCTGTTAGAAATTTTCTTTTGGGGTTGATTTTATAATAATCTCATTATTATATGTGATCAAATTAATTGTTTAAGACATGCGCATTAATTATTTTTATAATGTGTGGTTATTGGTAGAGTGTAGGCTATTACTTAATAACCCGTAATGGGAAAATTATTATGAAAAGAAATCATATTAATTTGCAGCTAGGTCTTCTATCACTACTTCTAAAAATTATACCAAATGGTGCTCTATTTGATTAATGAAATATATATCTAAGAAGTAGTGGGGAAAGAGTTTCCTTAAAGCGATATTTACCAACTATGATGCATCGACACCGATATGGGACATGACACGCCGACACGTTAATTCTAAAAATGTTATATTTCGACACGTTGGGACACATTTTGATATTAATAAAAAATTTAATATATATAATATAATTTATATTTAATACTTATAACAGTCCATAATAAATCATATAACCAATCAAATATTCAAATTTCATAACATAAATATAAACAAAATTAATTTCTCGTACTTTGTTAATTTTTCATGTTAAATTTCATAACAGAAAAAAATTGATTTATAATTTTTTTTATATTTAGATAATAAAATAAAAGTAAGACTAAAAAAAACGTGTCGGATGCGTGTCGCAACGTTGACCGCGTGTCAAAAAAAGTTAAAAGCGTGTTGAAAAAATATGTCAGAATGTGTCAGAAAATTAACCGCATGTTTCAAAATGTTGACCGCGTGTCGGAACGTGTCGATGTGCGACACACAAATTTTTTTAGAAAATCTTGTGTCCAATGTCCAATGTCATCAATGCTTCCTTTTTCATCCTCTTATGGCTAACATATGTACGCACCTTTGATTATTGTTTTATAAATTTAATATAATTTATGGATTGATTATTACAATATCCTCTTAAACCTAGTTGTTGTTAAGCATGTCAATTGGTTTATTAATTTCTCTATAAACTATTTGTTCGGTCCTGGATAGACCGTATTGCTATACCGTAGGGTATGCGCTCAGAGATAGTGTATATCAAGTGTATACTAGGCTTATAGTCGAGGTCCTAATCACTGCGCACAAGCAATAGGCTTATAGCCAAGGGGCGGGTGTGTGCACAGTGTGGGCAGTATTAGTAAATAGGTTAAAAGTGTATACCAGGGTCTTTAACCTTTTATTTATAAGGGTTACCTCTTGGGCTTGTGTAGATCTCCCAGTTGTAGTAGGATTTAACTTCTTTTCTGTTGGGATAGGGACTCAATCATTAGCTGCCTTACTGTTTTATATTGTTAGGATAATTGGAGAATTATCCTTTAAGGGATCCTTGGGTAGGTGGTTAGGATATGAAAATATTCCATAACAGTTGCCCCCCAACCCGGCAGTTCGGAAGCTCGGACTACTGGGGTGCCTAAGTTTGATTGATAGGTCGACCCTACCGAGGTACTATGATCCTGCCTTGGGTCTGGTGTGACTACCTCTTCTGGGTTTAGCTTTTTATATTGGCTTCTTTTCTCTTGAAGTCTCTGAGTGGTGAGTTTGTTGACTTTGAGCTCGACTTCTCTTGTCGAGGTTTTTTAGTTTTGACTAGGCTTATAGTCAGTCTTTTATATAGGCGTTCGCCTAAGTTTTAGGATGGCATTTCGTGCCTCCTTAATAATTAACCCGACTTTGCACTTCCTGGCGTTAAGTGCCGTGGTTCCAGATTTGGCTCGGTTTCGCATACCGAGGTCTCTATTAGCATGGATTTCACCTTTTGCAAAGGTGTATTGTACTTTAGGGAGCACAAATTTTCTTACTACGACTTCCCCCTTTTGGATTTGACTTGCTGCCAATGTTAATTTTGGTAAGGTCTTTCGTGCCTTCTTGAACCATTTGTCTGGCTTCGAATATCATGACTTCTCTTGTTTTTGATGGACTTGGCTTCTTTTGCCATAGTCTTGGATTCTTGAAGGAGGAGTTCGCCTCCTCCATTTTAAGCCCGAATACGTATACCGAGGCTTTTATTTTGAGCCCCGCTTCATTTGCGATGGCTTTCTTTAAATTGACTCGGCTTTTGCCTTGTCTACACTTTTGAAGGCAGTATCGTTGCCTTTCTGATTTTAGCCCGGCTTAAAGTACCGTGGCTTTACTGTTGGACTAGACTTTTTGCCAGTCTTGTTTGAGCCCGGCTTCGCATACCGTGGCTTTCTACTTTGAGCCACGCTTCATTAGCGTGGACTTTTTATCTGAACCCGGCTTGTTACGCCGTGGTTTTCTTATTTTGAATCCCGCTTTATTTACGGTGGATCTTTAATTTGAGGCTGGCCTGTTGGGTCGCAAACTTTGCCATTTGGCTTTGTTGCCAAAATCTTGAATAGGAGCCCCACATCATATGCTGCCTCGATTTTTCTTTTATCTCAAATTGGGATGTGATCTTTTTCTAAGATCACGATCTCT